TTCATTACTCAAAATTTCTGTACAAACTACAATATCTGCAATGATAAGCCTATACTTCTAAACTAAGCATAATTGAATACTTAAATTATCTTGCCTTTGTATTTCTTTACCTGAAAGTCTAAATCTAACTGTTTCATTAAGAGGTACTACCAAGCTGAAACTGGTTTATGGACACCTCCATTCTGTATGCTATTCCTCTATTTCCATATCATGTAGATGTGTGATGGTCCTTTTTGTGTGCTTTGCAGTAGCTGAAAGTGTTCCGGGTGGAATTCGTGTGAGAGTCGGCAATCTTCCTAAGAAAAAGAACATTCACAGGGATTTGAAAGCTGCTTTTGATGGGGTTCCTGGATTAATTCATATATATCCGGCTGTTTCTGGGAATAAGAAGACTAAAGACCCTGTCTGCAAAGGTTTTGCCTTCGTCGGTTTTAAGTGTGAGGTGGATGCAACCAGGTATGGTGTGCTATATTGCAAACTTTAATCATTGGTAATTCATAATTTTGTTTAACAGAAACTGTCCCATTATATAAAACTCATGCACTAAGATTAAGAACTCGCAAAATCACCGGTAATGCAATGTTGCATCTTGATCTAATTGACTTCAGGCAGCTTGTTCTTCGTTTTTTTAGAGAGTAAGCATTGTACTATTATCCTTCAACTGAAATGATGTCTTTCTTACGGTAGGTTTGTGCAAAATTTCTCTGGACATAAGATCACATTTGGTAGGATCCAGAAGCAAATAAAATGTGAGATGGTGAATCCTTCTCATGAAGAATTGAGCGACAATAAATCTATCACACCTGTAGCGGCAAGTTCTAGCTTCGTAGACGTTTCAAATGCTAATTTCGATATGAATAACTCTGATTCGTCATTGGAAAGCTTATCTGATGAAGTCAACGATCAAGATGATGAGCTTGTATCAGATGAATTTGATGATCCGGACGATGAGCTTGTACCAGATGAATTTGATGATCAGGATGATGTGCTTGTGTCGGATGAATTTGATGATCAGGATGATGTGCTTGTATCTGATGGATTTGATGATCAGGATGTTGTGCTTGTATCGGATGAATTTGATGATCAGGATGATGTGCTTGTATCGGATGAATTTGATGATCAGGATGATGAGTTTGATGGAGTAGAACTAGGAGAAGCTAGAAACAATATTAATGCTACTATTGTAGCAGAGGCAAAAGATGCTGATATTATGGAACCAACGTTTAAACGTGAAGCTGATTCGTCTCGGCTGGAACGAATTAGGGATCTTGAGAAAAGGCTACTTGCTAGAGGAAAACAACAAAGAGTTCCAAAAGAGCAAAAAGGTCAAAAGCTAGAAAGAGTTGGGTCTATTAAGAAAAAGGTACTTGCTAAACGAAACCAACCAAAAGTTCTAAAAGAGCAAAAGGTTCAAAAGCTTGATATTCCAGGGTCTGCTAAGAGGTATTTATGCATTATTAAAACCTCATTAGTAAAAAGTTTTTCTCTAATATAGTTTAAAATTCTAAGTTGTATTATCCTTTTTGTGCAGGTTAAAGACTAAGGAAAAGGCTCAGCTAACAGGGGTCTTCTCCAAATATGGTTTGAAAACTCTATTGACTTCAAATGAGGAGTCCTAATCAGCGGAAAATGTGTAAGAGTATTTGATATTACTAGCTGTAGTAAACTTATACATTCCTCCTTTGATCATTAGTATTTGATATTACTAGCTCTAGTAAATTTATACATTCCTTTTATCATTTCTTTCACATGAGAATATAATCCAACAAGCAATGAAAATAATTATAATAACGATGACAATAATCATTTGAAACTACAAAAATGTAATCAGTTAGGCTTTCTCATTCAACTGATGTTGATAATATGCTTTTATTTAGTATGACGCATTTTCCCTCCATGAATGAAGGAAAAATAGCTATGTACTTGAGCGTTTTGTGGTATCAGTAATGAATTGGAATGTAATAATATTGATTCATATAGTTACAGAGGAAAAGGTTCTCTATTGATTCAAATGTTGTACCTATGGGATAGGGATAGAGAAAGAGGAAAAAACCGAAGATCTCAAACAGTGCTTTTGATCGAAAATCAATTACCACCTTTATCATAATCATAAATCTTTTTTTATTTCAAAATTATCAATAGAATAAGAGCAATTCCAAATGTAAATCAATAGAATAATATGAGAAATATAAAAACATGAAAGAAAAAGTAAATGAAATCATAGCAAAAAGACGAGGTATTAGGTCATTTGTCCTGCTTCAATGTTTCTAAGATGTACTCGTTATAGAGGTCCCTGCACCATGGCAACATAAAACCCTTCGTCAGATATAGAACCGAAAGAGCAACACTGACTAATACCTATAGACCACAGATTAAGTTAAACAAAAGAGAAATGTCCATCAGCTTTAGGCATACATTGAATGCTGGATGGCTTCAATAGCAGTGTTTGCAGGTAAAATATCGTTGACTGCAACCTCCTTGTTCTCATTTTTCTTGTCTGTGCAATGTTAAGAAATCAGTATTCCCTCACACTATGAAGCAAAAGTTAATGATGTGATGCAATGAGTTCATAATGTGAGATTGAAAAGCATACAGTCTTCGAAGAAACGGCGGATCTCAGTAAGGCGGTGAGGGGGAAGTTGTTTGATATCAGTGAAATGTTTGTACTCTGGATCATCAACACAAACTGCAATGATCTTATCATCTTTCTCCCCCTTGTCGATCATGGGCATAAGTCCAAGAGCTCTGGCTCGCAGATAACATCCTGGAAGAACTGGCTCCTATCCAAACAAATCGTCATAACCTCAGTACTTGTAGATCAATGTTAAGTTGCAGGACTAAATTTTATATTTTCACCTGCATGATCACCAAACAGTCCATGGGATCATTGTCTTCGCATAGCGTGCGAGGGATGAAACCATAGTTGTGAGGATAGACTACCGAGGAATACAAAATCCGATCAACCTGTGAGATTCATTTAAACAGTAAGAAACACATTAGGACGGGAAAGCCATGGCCAATGAGGTATTCTCTGATCTATATATTCTATAGTAGCTCAAGGAACTTTATCTTTAAAAGATGCCCATTTTTTTTCATACCATAATCATTCCGGTCTTTTTGTCAAGTTCATATTTGACCTTACTACCTTTTGATATCTCAACAACCTGCACAGTTGATCAAAAAAGGTCGAGGCTTGAACAATAGAAATGATTGAACAAGTTGAGGCTTACACAATTGACAATGGTTGGAGCTTCAGATCCTGCAGCAGACAATATTTTTAAAACATGTCAGTTCCCTGTATTATGATTCACTCGGAGAATGATATGATACTTGGAATCTGATTATTCAGCCATTGGATAGATACCACTCCCGAGATCATGCCAAGGATGCGCAGCAACTGATCTCTTTGACATAGACGAAAGGATCCTCTCGTTTAGACGCGGCGGTCCGCGAGGAACTTCAGTTTTTTCGTCACTCATCCTGCATCAACATTCAACCAAATGAAAAGAGTTTCACTTATGATCCTAAACAAAGCAGAGAGTGAAGACAAGTACCTTTGGTTCTGGGATAAAGAGTGTAGACACAGAAAAAAAGTTGCTGATTATCAATGGAAGATAAATGAGGAATGATGCAGTGATTTTAGGTAAATATTTATAAGATATGGGGCTGAAAATTTGTCCAAAAAGAGAGAAAAGAGGTCGGTCAAAATGGTTTAAGGCAGTGCCTCGTGTCTGCTGTTGAGAACATGCAGGTCCTCGGCAGTCGGCATTTCCTTCTGTAATTTCATTTTTTTCTCACTGACTACGCTATATTAGGAGTACATATAGGGATTTAAAAAGTGTTTTAGAGATTAAAAAAACTCATTTAGTCATTGTCGGTTGAAACCTTTGTCATATAAAATGCAGTTTATGAAGGGTGACCTCTGATGCATCGACTATGTATTCATGCAAAAAGGGTCGCTAATATTGAGTTAAAAAGTTTACATATAGAGTACAGAGCTCCTGGCTATGGCTTGGAAGAATGGCTATTCTTTCTTATAAATCTTTTCATATTAAAAAAAATCACTTCCATATTTTAAAAAGATCTAAAAAAAAAGGCCAAACCGGAATTCAATGATATTATCAAAATATCATATAACATTTTTTACATTCCATCTTACTTTCACTCTAGAAATTTACTTTAAAATTAAATGTAAAAAATTATTATAAACTAATTTACTCCTAAACATATAATATGAAACTTACAAGATAACATTAAAATGTAAAACACGAGTCTTCTAAAAAGTTATAGAAAATATGTATATAGAAAACATTAGTTGTATTCTTCTATATGCATAATGTTTGGTACCTGATTCAAATGTTTAACAAAAATTCAGTGAGCGATATGGATGTATTGGGGTCGGTTTCGTTTTTATATAAGAATAAGAAAATTAAATAGATTAAATCGATGAAACAATTAAAATCAAATTAATTAAATCAAATAAAATCAGTTCGATTTTATTCATCAGTTTTATTTTTTAAATTATTATTATTATTATTCGAATAAAAACATGATAATATCTTAATTATTATTTATCTTTATTTTTAATAAATATTATTTATATCCCATTACTTTAACAATGTGACTTTCATAAATAATGTAATACTTTAAACCTGGATCGAGTTCAATATGTCACTTTAGGTCATCGAAATGATCATTATTTGGAAAAATATTATTTTCCATCGTACAAAGAAGTCATAATAAATTCAAACTACAGAGTTTATAAAAAACAGTCAAAACATATTTAAAAATTATAGCTCCGTTTACAATGGTTCTCAAAATAAATCTTAGTTTTTGGGTTTATAAATCAAATACAAAATAAGAGTTCTATGAATATATATATATATATATTGAGTTGACTGATCATCCGTTTTGCGACCCCTTGTTCTCGTGGTCTAACCATCAGGAGGTTGGTTTTACTGCAAAGAAGTTGGATCGTGTTCTTATTAACCCTTTGGGGTTTAATGTTCTTCCTTCTTCTTTCGTGGAATTTCAAGCTCCGGAGGTTTCTGACCACTGCCCGACAATCATTTAGTTGGAGAAATTGGTTCAAGCTAATAAACCAAAAGCTTTCAAGTTCTTTAATTTCTGGTCTACTCACCCGGAGTTCTTGGGACTGGTCCGAGGGTCGTGGTGTGAGCTGGTTGAGGGTGACCCTATGCTGGCTTTGTTTAAGAAATTGAAAATGCTAAAGAAGGTACTAAATGGGTTAAATCAACAACATTATAGTGATATCTCTAAACGTGTGGCCTTAAAGAGGGGTGAGCTTGAGCAGTAGCAGCTCCTTAATCTCTCCGGGAATGGTAGTGAGGTGACTTTTGATCGGGAGGTGGCCTTGCGTGGTGAGCTAGTGGATTTGGAGAGGGCTGAAAATTTATTTTATTGGCAGAAGGCTGATGTTCGTTGGCTGCGTGAGGGTAACTTGGGGACTCATTTCTTTCATTCTTGGTGGTGTTGGAGAAGAAACGAGATACTATTCGTGTGCTCTTTGATGATGAAGGAAGGTGTCTTGAGTCGTTTGATGAGATGTATTCGGAAGCTGTGGGCTTTTAAGAGAATTTGTTAGGTAAATCTGATCAGAATGTTATGGGGTGCGATGTGAACTTGCTTCGTGAGGTCGTGGATTATTCCCTTCCGGATGATGCGACTTTGTTGCTTACTAGGGATGTCACGGATGAGGAAATTAGGGAGGCTACCTTTCAGCAGGGTGATGAAAAGGCGCCAGGGTCGGATGGTTACTCCCCTTGTTTTTTCAAGTCTGCTTGGGAACTTATTAAGGTCGATTTTATCTCGGTTGTTCGACATTTCTTTGTGGCTTCATCACTTCTCCCTACTTCCAATGCCACGGTGATAGTCTTGGTCCCGAAATCTGTTAATATGCTAGCAGTATGAGGGAGTTTAGACCTATTTCTTGTTGAAACGTAGTGTATCGCACTATCACTCGTATTTTAGTGAATCAGTTGGCTGTGTTCTTTCCTAGTATGATAGTTCCGAATCAATCGGCGTTTGTTAAGGGAATGAATATAGTGGATAACACGCTGTTAGCCCAAGAGTTGGTCCGGGGTTATGCTAGGATTAGGGATTTCGATAGCCTTGATTAGGGATTTGTGCTGGCTATTTTGGGTGCGATAGGGCTGCTTAAGAAATTTTATGCGTGGATTCAGATTTGTCTTACGTTGCCTCACTTCTCGGTGTCTTTCAATGGAACTTTGGTGGGGTTTTCTACGGTGCCAGGGGGTACGGCAGGGGGTTTCGGTGTCCTTGTATCTCTTTGTTTTGTCTTTGAATGTCATCTCCAAGTTGCTTGATTTGGATGCGAATAATGGGGTCTTTCGGTTCCATCTGAAGTGCAAGAAAGTTGCGTTAACTCATATGTGTCTCGCAGATGACCTCGTTTTTTTCTAAGTGTTCGTTGGATTCTATCTTGGATATCCGCTATGTTTTGGATTGATTTTATGATTGGTCAGGTTTATGGCTTAATGACACGAAGTGTGGGGTTTTTGCCTCGGGGATCTCTGCTGAAGCCTTGGCTAGTATTGAGATAGCTACGAGTTTTAGGATTGGGAGGTTACCGGGTTGATACCTTGGGGTTCCTCTTGTGACTAGAAAGCTCTCAGAGAATGATTGTTGGAGTTTGATTGAAAGCGTAAAGGAAAGACTTGATCATTGGACATGCAAGAGACTTAGCTGTGTTAGAAGACTTCAGCTGATTCGTTCGGTCCTGTTTAGTATTACAAACTTTTAGTGCAGGCAGTTGTTCCTTCCCAAAACGGTAATTCGTCGGGTGAATCTGCTCTGCATGCGGTTCTTTTGGAAAGGGCTGGATGTGGTGGCCTCGATTGCTAGAGTGGGTTGGAGTCAGATTTGTTCCCTCAAATCCGAGGGGGTTGGGCTTGAAGGATTTGGAATGTTGGAATAAGGCTTGCTTATTTCAGCTGCTCAAAAAGCTACTTGCGAATGACGGTTCTTTGGGTCGCGTGGGTTCGTGCTTATGTAATTAAGGGGGCTGATGTGTGGAGTTTCCAGCCGAGCGCCATGACGAGCTGGATTCTAAGGAAGGTCTTATTCTATAAAGATGAGGCGGCTGTTGTCTTTGGGGGTTTGGGGAGAGTTGATGCTTGCCGAACTAGGAATGTGTGGGTGAGATCCGCGCTAGGAAGGTGAGGGTTTTGTGGAAGCGCCTGATTTGGTTTGAGTTGTATGCACCTAGGCACTCTCTTATCTGTTGGATGGCCTTGCTCGATCGTCTGTCAGCTCGGGAAAGGCTTATTCGTATGGGGTTGAGTGTTGACAGAATTTGTGTGTTGTGTAATGCTGTGGAGGAGACTCGATCCCATATTTTCTTTGGGTGTCCTTTCTCGATTGAGTTTGGAAGATCGTTTTGGATGCTAGTGTATTCTTCGTTAGGTTCTAGATTGTGAAGGTGAGTTCACTGGGGCATGTGCTCACGCTCGGGGTAAGTCCTTTGGTGCCACTATTTTTACATTGGCTTGGAATGTTTTTATTTACTATGTTGGGAGGGAACGAAATAATAGATGTTTTAGGAATGTGTTTTTTATCGGGGATATATATATTTTTTTTTGGATAAATCAGATTTTATATCCAAAGAGCAAAGGCTGCTACAAAAATACAATCAGGGTTCCAATACAATACAAAATACTTACAAAAGAATCAATGTTCTTCTATACCCATTAATTGCATAAAGTAATATTAACAGGATCTATTCTATTGATATTTTTACCCCTTAGAAGCATGCTGACAGTGTCCTTAATGGCTTTGATAATTTCTTCTGCAGACCAAACTCTATTTTGGAACACCCTTTTGTTTCTCTCTTCCCATATCATGTAAATGGTGGCGTTAAATGCTATCTTCATGATCAATATGAGCAGTGATTTTCCTTTTCAAGTGGAGTTAGCCCATACCGTGAAAACAGGGGATATAATTGTGAGTTTCATTAGGGAGTTAATTCAATCCTGAGTTTATGGCAGGTATAGTGAGTGGCTGAGTGCCCAGCTTTGTACAGATTGAGATATTGGGGTTGAGTATCTTGTTTTATCGGATACTATTGATTTGTACTTTCTTTAGATATAATGTACACATTTTATAAAAATATATATATATTTATATAATATAGCTGCTTCAGTTTCTCTTCTTGATTATTTTACAATACACGTAGAGTTAAAGTGGAAAGGCAAATAAAAAGCGATAGAGTTTAGAATATTCTCAAATTTCACATAATAATTTATACACAATATTTTTAAATATTTAAATATATCCTTTTAAACACACAATAATTAATTGAAGATAAAATAATTTATAGTTTGAGTCGTGCTTGTGTAAGTGTAAATATATATCTTTGATATGTATCACACATATTTATTATTTTTTTGACAAAATTTATATATATTTATTTCATTTTGGTTCGTCTTATGTCTGTACTAACAGTCACGTAGACCGGAGATGTTCCTTACAAAGAAAATGCTTTCAAAGACACTTCATGTAAAAAGGGCTTTTATTAGTGTGGTGATATTTGAATAAAGGGACCACAAAAAAATACTATAGTATATAGCTGCTTGAATTTATCTTCCTAATTAATTACATGAGAAGCAGAATTAAAGCGCGAGGGTAAATTCGAGGAAGTAAAATACAAAATGAAGAAGAAAAGGTTACTGGTCTAGCCTCCTGAGAAGAGCAGATTTGATGCCTTGTTCACTAGTTTTGAATATATGAGGAACCTTGACGACAATATCCTGAAGCACGTTGTCTTTAACGCACGACACGCTTGCATGATGGACCTGAACCTCCAAATCACGAAGCGCATCCATTAACCTTGCACACGGATAGTTCACGTTCTTCGATTGGACCCTAATCATTGCATCATTTCCTATGATCTTGATATCTAGTTCCACCCCACTAGACCCATCGGTCGCTGATGATGAATTGCTAGTTTTGGCTGTCGTTATCTGCTCCACCGATTCTACCTTCACTCTCTCACACTCTCTACGAAGCTCCGATTCGAGGTCTTCGATTTTGGACTTGAGCTCGTTGATGTACGAGACGGCGTCGGACAAGAGGGACGCTTTGTCCATGCGGGACACGTTGGGGACTACAGCTCGGAGTGCGTAGAATCTGTGGTTCAGCTTCTCCCGGCGTTGCCTTTCGGCTTCCACGTGGTTCAACAACGGCTCTCGTCCCGAACCGGGTTTTCTTCCACGTTTCTTTGGGGTTCTATTCTCCGTCTTCGTGTTGTTTCCGGCAAGCAATGGACAATCGGAATCCGAATGCTCTAAGTTAACAAAAGACGATTCCTCGGGTCTTGTAGAATCTTTCGCGGCTTCGTTGTTGTTGTCTTCTTGAACACCGGCGATTAGGCCGATGTCAGAAAATGAGATGCTTCTATCAAGGAACTGGATTTGATTTCGCCCTGGGTTTGGAGTTGATTGTTTTGGTAGCATGCCGTTGAGATCCGACCCGAATAAGAACTTCACTTGTTGGACTAATCCCCAGTTTTCCCTGATAATTTCCGAGGAGCCAAGTTCAAGAACGCCACAAGAAGTCGGTATACAGACCATCGTTTCAATGCCATTCAACTGTGCTTCTTTAGCCCTTTCGCAATTATAAAACTGCAACTCGCGGGCACCGGTTAACCACACCAAAGAGCCGGTCGTAAGAGACTTTCCCGGGATCCCTTCGCCGGCAGAGAAACTCCGGGTCAAAGACAACATGTAGAACCATTCAGCATCGCTGATATCCGTCCCGTCGATCATCGACATATCGAAGTCGTGGTTGTCTCCGACGAGGGCTTGGATTCCTTCCATCACCTTCCTTCGTTCATCGTGCAACCCCTGAATGTCTGAACTTTTGTTGGCACGTAATTTCGGGGACGTATCTTTGGTGCCTTGAAAATGACCGTCTCCCCAAGCCAAAAACAACCGACCCTGGTCATCGTTCGACGTTTGCCAAAATATAGCGTACGCCCACCAATCCAGCTGCCTTTCAATTACATGTTGAAGCCTCTGCTGGAGAGTCAGAGGAGGAGTTTCATGTGAAAAGGAAACTAATGAAGGAGATGAGGATGGTGAGATTATTACTTCTTCCATGGCCGACAGACAGTAAAAAGAAAGATCACGTGTGAACTGGTCGAGGTTTTTGTCTTTGGCTTTTTAATGATCAGTACTACAATGTTTTCCTACAGGTAGGAAACGGTGTATTGAGTGTATATATAGAGAAGCGACGTGGGAAGCCGATAAAAGGTTAAAAACAGAGAAATAAACAACAGTTGATGAGATTGATGTATACAAAGAAACCGTTGAGTTTGGTGTTAGGTGACCTGTGGTTCATGCAAGGCTATTAGCGAGTAGGCATAGGGGCGAGTCACACTGTGGGACCACCTACTCTGTGATTGACATGCGTAGGCCCAGTATTACTAATGTTGTTGGGCGTTCTTCTCTTTCCATTTACAGACTTAATTATTTTCTAATTTCTTAAATGATGTATTACTTCACACCTTTAATCGATTTGATGTTAGGTCAATCCAATCACATTTTAAAGTGCAATCTATCTTATTAGAATTAAATGTGATTGTTTTTGTTAATTATTAATCATCCATTTTAAAAACATTATATTTTAATTATTTATATTACTTTATTAAATTTTAATCATTTATATTATAATTTGTGGAATAAATTATTAAAATATCTAAAAGATTTTAAAGATAATTTTTGATTTTAGAAAATATACTTTATTTTTATTTTATTTTCCTATAAAATAAAAAAAACATTAAAGAAAACGTTGGTTGTGAAATTAGAAAATAATTATTGAAAATAAAAATAAGTAAATATATCAAAACATAAAAAATGCGTTTTCATTAAAATTATTTTGAAAAATTAGAAAATAAGAGAATATGAGATCTAGATTTTTTAACTTAATTTACACGAGTTTGAATCCTCCTAATATTTTTAAATTAATGGTATCTAAAATCTTCAAATTTAAAAAAAAAAAAATCAAAATGATCCCTGAATATTTTTACACTTAATGTAGTCTTTAAATTAATTTTTTAATACTTTATTTTTGTGGTATTTTTATATTTAATGTATTAATATCTTAATAATTGTTTATATTTTAAAATTAAATAGTTTCTTAATTTTTAAAAAATATATATATATAAGTCCTCAAGTTTTTTTTTAAAAAAAATCAATGATACCCTCAAACTTAACAAAGAAAAAAATAATTAAACTCATCTATCATATAATCATCCATCGTGTACTATTATAACAATATCATTGAACTATTACATTAAAATATTGTAGATTGTTATGTAAATTTTATAAATTGTCATGTAAGCATCGTGATGATCAACTTCTGTCGATTAAAGAGTTAGATTGATTTTATTCAGTTTAAGGGTCACATTAAATGTAAAAACGTATGGTGACTACACTATTTTTTTACTAAAAAGTTTAAAGGCCTCAATTATCACTGAACGTATTTATATTTTGATGTCACTTTTGTGTGCTCTTACTTACAATAATATTTTTCTTATTTTTAAATTTAATTGATGTCCATAAGCATTAACATTATATTCTTATTATAAATCAAAATAATTTTTATGTTATGAAATTTCTTATCAACTTTATTGTTTTATATTTGCATAACTCATATGTTAAATTTATATAATAATTTTAAGGATTATAATTTAATTTAATTATTTAATAACTATTTGTTCATTTCTATTTTTAAAAAATTAGATATCAAATATATTTTCATTATTTTTATTTATGAGCTCAAATGAGCATATAAAACAAATGAGCATTTATATGATAGCGTCCTTTGAAAGACTTTTCTCTAAAGAAGCGTTTCTGTTTACATGACAGATCGAAAAGTTTATTTCTTTGAACTCTAACATCTTCCTGAGTCTGTTACGTGAATAAAAATGCTTCTTTGAGAAAAAGTCTTTCAAAAGACGTTATCACATAATCACAACTTTATCTTATATAATTTAAACGACTAAAATATAAAATACGTGCTCAAACTATACATGTTTTCATAAATAAGTGTTAAAATATTTTTTTACTCATCAGATACCTAATATTACAACGTTATCTATTTAGGTGTTCAACTGTCAACGACGATAATTTTCTTGTGAAGTGTCCATTATGTCGTCCTTGCAATTATTGGTATTTTGGTTTCGCCTGAATTGAACGAAAGGAGGACTAAAATATTTTAACGAATTGCCATGGTCCCCGATATATTTGGAAATGTGCTTTTTCAGATGTAGTCAGAAAATTTAGAGCAATTTTTGCCTATATCATTACCCCTCATTATATCTTTCTTTTTTTTTCCTTTTTCTAAGATTTTTTATAATTGAAATGAATTGATTGTATAATATAAGCGATATGAGGATCTCCTCGATTGGAGTTTTTTAATATATTTTCTATTTAATATATTTTTATAAAATGGTCTAATACCTTTTTATCCCCTTACGTTTACTTGTTTTCTCATCTTGGTATTTTTTATTTTTATCTATAATGCCCTTTAACATTTACAAATGTCACCTCAAACCCGTTAAAAATCATCCGACTTCAAGTAAATAAATGACTTGTCAATTTTTTCAGATTTTTAAATTTAATTCCTAAAATATTTTATTATCTTAAATTGATATATATTTAATTTTAAATTTTATTATTTAATTCAATACTTATAATAGTAAAATATTTTTCTTTAATAAATTATCATCATCTTATTACTATAAAGTGAATAAAATATGTTTTAACATTGGTTAGGATCACTTACACCTAGCGAAAAGTTTTATACCTTTTTAGGATCGTTGGATAAGAGAAAATCAAAAGCATAGATTAACTCTTTACTTTTTCTAGTCAATATATTCTTATTTTTCTATTGTTAATCTCATTCATCGATCTTAAAAAAGTGATTTTTTTTAGTTTTACACTATGTAATTGGATCATAGTCCTTTAAAAAAGTTTTACACTATATAATTGGATCCTAGCACTTTAACGTTAGAAGAATTTATTCTAGGGCTTTGAAAATAATGGTTATGCAAAAATTGTAATTTTTCCCTTTTTCCTCAACACATTAAGTTAAATTTAACCACTTTTCCAAAATAATGAGATGTACTTGGCCCCTATGGGGGCTTAGTGCATCTGCCACTGACAAGACACACATATTTGATAAACACAATTACTCGAACCTAATAAGAGAGCATAATATTTTTCTTTTAGTATTGAAACTACTCAACAAATTCAAATCCCAAATGTTTAAAAGCATACAATTAATAGCAATATATGAGTTATTGTATTCAAATGCATCACGTTAATTGTGTATAAATCCAATAGGATCAAATGTTTAAAAACGTGCGATTGATAGTAATGTTCGTTTTCAGATTAATTTGGGTAAAGTTGACGTTGTTAGTGCAATTAGTTTATGCTTAGAATATATATCATGGACGGTGAATAATTGGAGTTTTCCCAAAGTGGTAATACTTTATTTATTTTTTGAAAGACAACTTCACATGTTTCTCGTGATCCACCACTATATTATATAGTAATATTTATGCCCGGTGAGGTTTAAATTTAAATTAAAATAACAAGCTTTTTAAAATTTATTTTTCTTTTAAGGCTTATATGATAAACATGTATTTAAAGTATACTGTTTTCATTTTAAGTATTTAAAATATTTATTAGTCAAAGTAATTAAAGTATATTAAAGTATTTAAAATATTTAAAGTTATTTTCATTTTAAGTTCGGTTGAATTTTAAGATAAACTCATTTGTTGTGTTATATTACAGTAGCTTAATAATGCTACCATGAATCCTGCCATGCCAATAAATATAGCTCTGATGCGTTATTTCTAGACAAATACAACAGTGACGATGAAGATGTTCGACTTAGGAAAGTATCTTGATATGCTTCATCACATGAAGTTGACCTTTTATTTAAATTACGGTTACAATCATATTTTTGGTTACGTTACATTTATCATAATTATGGACATAATAAATATTATTACGATCATTACATTTATGATCATGCAATAAGAGTTTCTAACTATACTATTATTGTTATATAATAACAACTGTTCTGATAGCAAACCACTATTTAAATATATGCCACAAGACGCTTATGTGGTCGATAAACTTTGATCGAAACCATGCAGTACCGACATCATGAGAAGGAGACGTGTGTTTCGTACCATTTGCTACAGAAGGAGAAAGAATCTTATATAGATCATTCCCTAACCTCTCTCTGCTAGTATGTTATAAATATATTTAAAATAACATATATATATATTATAAAAATTGTATTTTTAGTGACATTAAGAATAGTTAACAAAAGTATCAAATTTAGTCATTAAATATTATAATGGTAAAATTTTTGAGTCGTCAATTGTCGTCACTACTACATTAATTATATTTTTTGTGACTATGTTTTTTGATATAGAAAGATTAATAGCAATGATGAAAATTCAGTCACTAATATTATCTTTATTGGTGATAAATATTTTATCACAACTACATAATTAAATTTAAATTGATTAATTAAAAATTTTATTATGAAATCAATTATAGTAGATATTATATTTTTAGTTGTATCTAGTCTTCTTTAGGAACTTGCATTACAATCATTGTCCTCAGTTAGTTATTCAAAGACTAATCTGGACCGGGTACTACATAAGCGAGTTCGACCCTCTTAACTCAATTTGCTTAACTTATCTAGTGTCTCATCCCGCTAGATCAATTGTTTATTGACTCTACATGTTATTTTTTGATAAATTAATATAATACATTGATTTTAAGATGATCGAACTTGAGACCTTCAAGGAAGAGTAAACCTAATAACTATGCTAATAAAGAAATATTTGTTTTTTAATAAACAATTTAATGAAAACTTCACTTTGGTCTCCAAATTTATTTAAATTTCACTTTAGTCCTCAAAATTAATATTAAAAAAATTAAACAGTATTTTGGAGCGTGACAAAGATAATTTAATAATGAAATCAAACATTAAATATTGAAAATTTTAAAAATTTAAGAGACAATTAAATAAAATAAATATGCTTTAAGGGGAAATAGTTCATTAAGTAAAACAATTATGATCAGTAAGGTTGACAAGCAACAGTTGATTCTCTAGTAAAT